TTCCTCTCCTTCATCAGAACTTAGGAGTTGGGCCTCAGTCCCCTGTCTTGGGCGGCCATTGTCTTTTACTATCTTTTGTTTTGTTTTCCTGGAAGCCCTGCAGTAGTTAGGAGCACGTTCCTTCTTGATTTTAGACTAATTCTAAACCTCTTTACCCACTTTCAGGGTCAGGTTGGTAGAAATTATTTGCTTGGGATCACTTAGTCATTGGATAGCCCATTGCCTGGGTCCTGGCCAATGAGGCCAGGCCTGGACTGTACATTTCATGCCAGGCATCTGAACTCTGAACACTTTTTTTCCTCTTTCAGAATTACCCCCTCTTTTCAAGGAAGACTTTTTGCCATTTGCTGCCTATGTGATCTTAGACAAGTCCCATTACCTTTATCTGACCCTCCAGTCCCTCACCTGTAAAACGAGGGGGCCTTTGAGGTCCCTTCCAGCCATGGATGGGTGATTCTCAGTATGTGCTCGGTTTGTGATTCTCTGAAGTGAGGAGGGGTGAACCAGGTGGTCTCTGGGGCTCTCCTGTAGGTGCTACATTTGTGATTCTCTTACAGAAATACTCCCTCTCCACCCCACCCCGCCCCCATCATCCTCTTTGCCTTCACCCAGCTTTCCCCTCCTCTGTTTGCTGCTTCTTATCTGATGTGAGCTGGGAAACCAGAAACCAAACTTAGTAAAAACTGTGTGTGAAAAGTTATTCTTGTTCTGAGTGAGGGCCCAAGATATCGCAGGGCATGGCCCATGCCTCGAACGCCTTGTTCTGTGTGCGCCAGAAGCTCAGGACAGTACCCAGAGTTTCGAGCTTTGCTGGGAAGCAGCCAGACTCAGTGCAAGAAGTCCTGGATGTGGAGTCCAGGAGACCTGGGTTTGAATTCTGACTCTGCTCCTGGCTGCCTGTGTGGCTTGGAGCTGATTGCTCCCCCTCTCTAGGCCTGGTTTCTCCTCGGCAGAATGAGGCAGTGATGTGTTAGATCCTGGCGAGCTTGTCAAGCTGTTCCTGAATTGTGTGGGACTTGGCTAGTGAATAGAGTACTAGATTGGGTGTCTGGGAGATGAGTTCAAATGCCGCTTCAGACATTTACTAGCTCACCTTGGGCAGCCTCTTTCTCAGTCTCAATTTCCTCATCTTAAAAATGGAGATGATAGGGACAGCTTGGTGGATAGAACTCCAGCCTTGGAGTCAGGAGGACCTGAGTTCAAATCCAGCCTCAGACACTTGACACTTACTAGCTGTGTGGCCCTGGGGGAGTCACTTAACCCCATTGCCTCACCAAAAAGTTAAAAAAAAAATGGAGATGATACCTACATAGATGATGACCTCACAGGGTTGTTTAGGTTTCATTGAAGTATGTAAAGTGCTTTGTAAACCTTAAGGCTGATGTATAAATGTCCCCCCTGTTCCTGCAGGCTGCCTGGTCAGGGCATTAATGGGACAGTGAGCTGTAGATTGGGGTCAGGGCAATCCTGAGAAGATCTGATTAGACAAGCCTACCCTTTACTCTCAGCAACGAATCATTTGTACTGTGCCACATCATGTCGTGGTTGCCTTCATTTATTCATTCAGTCATTCTGTATTTATTGAGGACTTACTCTGGGCCAAGCACCGTGCTATATTTTGGGGATCCAAAGACCAAAATGAAACCACCCCTGCCCTCCAGAAGCTATTGAATGCTGCCCGGTCCATCTCTTCAGGGCTGTGAAGGTTGACAGAGTGCCCTTGACGCAGCAACCCTAGTGGGAAGATGGTTCAGTGATCATTCCCCCATTTTACAGATGAGAGAATTAAGGCTGAGAGGTTTTCAGTGCTTTGCTGGAAGCCACACAGCCTCAAACCTGGGTCTTCCAACTCCTGGTGCCCCATTGACTGCCTTGGTTCCAGCCCCAAGTCGGCCTTTCCATTTCCTTCGCCTTTGATGCTTCTGTAAAATGAAGGGATCAGCTGGGAGGACCTCTAATTTAGGGCCTGTTCTGGCTCAGAAAACCCTTGTTGGATTCTGGGATGTACTTGAATGACATCAGGGCAGGTCCTTGTTCAAGGTGCTGGAGAGTTGCAGGAGAATTTCCTTTCCAGGAGTTCATGTCACTGCTCCTAATGGTTTTCTCTCCATTCTCCGTGGCAGGGGTGAAATTCCCTCTGGGAAAAACAGTGGGGCAATGGGGGGAAAGAGAGGTCTTTGAGGGATTCCCTTCTTTCAGGATGACAAGGGAGCCATGGGAAATAGGAGTCACAGGCCCCTACTGGAACTGGATCTTGGGTTCACAAGATTCTGCCCATGGCACATGCCTGCCCAGCATTCCCTGGCCCCAGCTCACATTCCAGATGGGCCGTCCACACCTTCCAGAGTATACTCAGACTGCCTTGAGTAGAAGCCTGGCCCCTGATGGAAAAGGGCCCCAAGCATGTTTCTCCTGTGAAGGATTGTTTCAGGTCCAAGACCCAGGTCAACACCTGAGGCCTTTGCTTGGTGTACCCCGCTTCCCTCTACACTGTCTGAGTACTTGGGAGTGCAGGCCTTTCATAACACCCTTGATTTAAGATCCCAATAAAGGTTTTTAATAGCCTGTAATGACTCAGGAATTAGTTTTACAAGCACAAGTGAAGAGGGAAATGAAATATATCTCTTCTTAACTCAATACTGGCCAAGCTGGCTTCTGAAGCAGTTAAAAACCCAAGGGGCATTAGTAGGAGAGTTTTGTTTTTCTTTTAAAGACTGTGGGTTAACATTGGGATTGTTCTTTTGCTAATTCAAATGGAGAAAAGATGAGAATCTTGTAACTTCTCTGTCCATCCATGAGCATCCCCTACCACATATCTTAGGGCAGCCGGAAGAGGTACAGGAAATTATGCAAGAGGTGTTACTATTTCTTTCTTTTTCTTTTTTAATAATTCCCGGAAAAGCTATTCCTTTTTCTGCTCAGTGTTAGGTCTATAGATTCAAGGTTCATCACAGGTAAACTCCTAGGACACTTTGTAGGCTTGGTGGAAATTCACTGGGCCTAGTGTCAGCCTTTCTTACGCTATTCGGAGCCACCAAACATATTTCATTTGACCCTACAAGGATTCTTGGCCTGCCGTCTGTGAACTTTAAAAAAAATTGATGACTGTATTTCAATATAATTGCTATCTTTCACAATCCTATGTATTTTATTGTATGTATTTAAAAACGTTACTTGGAGGAGGGGTCCACAGGTTTCATCAGATGGCCACAGAAGTCCAGGACACACAAAAAAGGTGAAATAAACAGAGCACCTAAAACCTCAAACCCTTTTCTTAAGAGATAGTTTGGTACGTAGCACTTTAATATTTGTGAATCTATTTACGTATTTTATTATTTTCATTTGATCCTCTTGACAACCCTGTGAGTTTTTTTTGCTGTTTTGCAGATTAGGAAACTGAGGCCTTTAAGTGACTTGCCCAGCATCATACAGCTAATAAGCATCTGAGGCAGGATTTGAACTCAGGTCTTTGAACAGAGGTCTGTCCACGACCACACCTAGCTGCCTAACTATGGAGTGGGTGGAGTGCTGGACTTGAGAGTTAGGAAGACTTGGGTTCAGATTCTGTGTCTGATACTTACTAGGATGTGGCCAAAGGTGAATCATTTAATCTCTCTTGAGCTCAGTTTCTCAGCTGAAAATGAGGGGATTTGGGGTAGATGGCTTTTAAGGTCCCTTCTCTAAATCTATGATCCTCTGACTTTGGTGAGCCTCAGTTTCCTGATTTGTAGAAGGGAATTCTTAAAAATAGTAACTTTCATAGTTCTTGTCAGACTGAAATTAAATAATATAGATCAAGGTACTGTATGAATATCAGTGTGTTATCATGATGATGATGAAGAAGAAGATGATGATTTGTTGAGAGAATATGGCATGGTGTAGAGAGAGCTGGCCTAGAAATCAGGAAGACCAGAGTTCAAATCCCACCTCGCACCCGTCGTGGCTTTGTGACCACGGACAACTCCCTTAGCTGCTCAGTGTTCTAGGAAACTCTCTAAACTAAATGTTGTTGAGAAGGTGTTGACCTGCATTGGTACAGAGCATTTCCTCTTCTGGGAGTTCCCTATACTGATGGAATCCCATCACAGCTCTGGTCTCTTTCCCTGGCCCTCATATTTATTAAGTCCTCCAGAGATGTGCAAGATTACAGAGTGTAAGCGTTAGGCAGTATAGTGGAAGGAGCCTTGGATTCATAATCTGAGGTCTTGGGTTCGAGTATTGGCCCTGCTACCTCTGTGACTGCCAAGTTATTTAAGTTCTCAGGATTCCTCATGTGTAAATGATTGTCTCTTAACAATTCAAAAATCTGTGATCATGATATTAAGTTCCCATATGGCCCTCAGGTACCACTCGGCCTCTGAGATCTCTTCCAGCTAGTTGCGGGCAGGCATTGTTGGTGTGTTTCTTTGTATCTCTACCAGTTGGCACGGTGCATGGCATGTATTAGGTGCTTAATAAATGCCTGGTTGGTTCTGACTCCCAAGATTCTGTTCCAGGCCTTCTCTTTGAAATGGCACATTTTCACTCAGGTATTGGGTGGTGGCAGAACTCTTGAGAAATGCTGTTTACTCACTGGGTGATTGCTGATTGGTCTGTGTTTTTATACCCTGCTTCAGCAAATGCAACTCAGTAAATATTTATTAGGTTCCTGCTCTGCACCTAGCTAGATGCTAGGGGTTCAAAGACAGACATTAAGTAGTCCCTGCCCTCAGGTGGCTTACTTCCTTCCCTTGGGGGGTGGGGCATGCACTTAGGTTCCTGCCCTCCCACTCAGTGGTCCCCAGCTGTTTTCCCTCTGTGTTTCGGAGGGAGCAGAATGACCTCAGCTGGTGGAGGCAGGTGCTGGTGAGGGATGGCAATAAATGTGTGGAAACCATCAAATCTCTGAGTCCAGCAGCAGTTCTCAGGATATATTGGCTGGAAAGCCCCAGCTAGTTTCCTGTAAGATGTGGTTTGCTCAGCCCAGGACTTGTAAATGAAAACTTGCCCTTTCCTTTCAGACGTCGGCTGAACCGGTGGTTTTGAAAAAAGAACGAGGGTCACCATGGGGCGGTGGCTCTGGGCAGCAGAGGGCCCTTTTAGGTCAGAACCCGAAGGCCTTTGAGACGAGAAGAGGAGGAGGTGTCCCTTCACCAGAACCTATGACCCGAGGCTCTGCTCCCACCCTGTACCTGCCCATTGAGTTCCACAAGATGGGCTCCTTCCGAAGGCCGAGGCCCCGCTTCATGAGCTCCCCTGTGCTGAGTGACCTGCCCCGCTTCCAGGCTGCTCGCCAGGCCGTGCATCTCAGTTCCAATTCAGCCTGGAACAGGTGAAAGAGGGAGCTGAGTTGGTGGGGGGAGCCCTTTGGGAAGGGGTCTTGTGCTTTCCCCTGCATTTCTTTTTCAAACCGTGTGCTCCTCTAAGAAGCCTAAACATGGTCTTCTTGGGGGAGGAAAAGAACTGGGAAATACTCAACCCTAGCCCCTTTCTTCTGGGAGGAGCAGCAGGGTCAGAAGATCTGCATTTGAATCCTGGCCATCCTATGCTATCCAGCTCCATGCTAACCTTGGGCAGAATCCTTTCAGCTTCCTCTGCCTTGGAGTTCAGTTCATAGCCTCATAAACTTAGATCTGCAAAGGCCCCAAGAGTCCCCCCTTAAAAAGGGGAGAAAACTGAGGGTAAATGATTTGCCTAGGTTCTCACAGGGAGTAAGTGTCTAAGGCAGAATTTGAACCTAGGTTTTCCTGAAGACTCCAAGGCCAGCATTCCACCTGCTATTCCAGGTTACCTCTTAGTTCTGTTTGTTTTTCGTGTTTTGGACCAGACCTACGATTCTGTAGGTATAGGGAGCTCCCAGGGAAGAAATGCCCTATGCCAAGGCAGTTTGGGCACTTGCTTTATAAACCTTTGCGTGGATTAGAGTTTCCTGGGCCATTGAGACTTGAAGAATTAATTCAATTTAACAAGTATTTATTGAGGACCTGGGCACTAGTGATACAAAGACAAAATGGGAACCAGGACCTGCCTCCCAGAAGCTTCCATCCCAGGTGATCTGGGAGGTCCCTTTATCCTCAGAGGTCTATGATCTTGTGACCTGTGAATCGCTGTAGACAAGTTCCCTCATCTCTGGGAGTCCCAGGTTCCTCATCCTCATCCTACCTGACTTGGAGGGGAGTGAGTTGTGAGAACAGTGCTTTGTGAATCTTAAAGCACCATGGGAATGGGAACTCACAGGCTTTAGGACTAGAAAGCACCCTGGAGAGCATCTGGGCATCCCTTTATAGAGGAGGGAACGTAAACTCACTGGATGAAGGGAGTTCTCTCCCTGGGTTGTCATGGGGGTAGTGTGGTAACAGTGGGAATTCACACTGACTGGAGTTGGAGGGCTTGGCTTCAGATCCTGTCTTAGAGCCAAAACGGACCTCACCTAGCCTAGCCCCTTCATTTTACAGATGAGGAAACAGACTTGGAGCCCTGAAGTCACTCCCCCTACTCTGATCCTGGCTGTGCCCTCTGTGACCATGTCTCACCTTCCAGGCCTTAGTTTCATCATTTATAAAACAAGAGGGTTGGACTGGACAGGGTTGGGGGTCCCTTGTGCCTCTGGGTCTAAGATCTCCTGGGAAGAATGAGGGAAGGAAGAGTAGACTTGGAAGACGAGAAGACCCGGGATCAGATCCTACCTCACACTCCCCTCTGTGTGCCTCAGTTTCCTCATATCCAAAATAAGATCCAGAGGCCAGTAGAGATCATTTGCTTGCTAATGATCCTTTTGGCCTTGAGCAGATGCCATGAGTCAAGCACTTGAGGACAGGGCACGTTAGGTGGGGAAGGAGGGAGGGAGAGGGGTTTTTTTGGATGGTGGTGGTTGTTTTTTGAGTCTCACCCTTGTTTTTCCCGGGCAGTGTCCAGACTGCGGTCATCAACGTGTTCAAAGGAGGAAGCCTGCAGAACAATGAGCTATTCCTGCTGAATGAAAACATCAGGTATGTCACCAGGACTGATTTCCTTCCATGAGCCTGGGCTGGGAAGGGGGGCAGGTTCCGAATGCGGAGTTCTCTGAGGAGTCCGGGTTCAAACCCCAGCTCAGATCCTCACTAGCTTGCAGGGGAGGGAGTTGAACTGGGATAATGCTATTTGGGTTTGAGTCATGGCTCAGCCTCTGGTCAGCCCTGTGAGCCTCAGTTTCCTTATCTTTAAAGTAGGGGTGATGATGATTGCACCGATGGCCTCCTAAGGTAGTTGTGAGGTTCAAATAAATAAATATATTCTCAGTGTTGTGTAAACCTTTAGAAGGCCTTGTAAATGTACACTGTTTGAAAAATTAGTGCACTTCACCTGAATGAACTACAGTCTTCTAATCTGTAAAAGAAGGATAACAGGTGAACACATATGCCTGCAGTATGTATACATACATACATTTATAGACAGGGTGTCCCAAAAGTCTTAATGCAGTCTTCCCTCCTTTCATCAAAGAACAGTGGAGCCAGAAGGGCCCAAAACCATTGTCTACTCCAATACATTCATTTTACAGATGGGAAAACTGAGGCCCTTAGTGGCATAATATCGCTAAGTTGCCCAGCGTCACCAGTCTAGTTGCCGGCAAAGGCTAGACTAGAATCCAGGTTGCTCGGCTCCCAATCCAGAGTTTGTCTGTCTTAGACTTGACCCCCAGGCCCATCTTCCATGATACAGAAGGGTCTGAAGATAAAAAGCAGCATCCCTTCACAGGGGCCTGATTCATTATTCTATTAACCCATGGAGAGAGCCGGTGGGCATAGTGTAAACACCTCGAGGGTAGGGGTTGTTTTGCTTTGACATTTATATTTACAGCTCTTGGCACAGAGCTGAGCCAACAGTTGGGGCTTACTAAATGCTTACTGACTGCCTTGAATGATTGATTGAAGTCGCTCTCACTTGCACAGCTAGCAAAGATTCCTATGTGCTGATTTTTTTTTTTTAACCTTAGGGATGCCCCAGTCCCCACAAGCAGGCTTCCAAGTATGGCTTGAATCACAGAGCACCCATTTTCATTCTTGTCATCAGCCCAGAGGGAGTTTGTCCGCTGGGGGAAGGGTTAGCCAGTGAAAGATGCCATGGCTCTGGCTTTGCTTATCAGTGGCATGTCTGAGGGATGACGGCCGTGGAATACTCTGTCTGGGGCTCTCGGTATTGCTTTCAGCTGTGCTCTAGCCCAGGGGAAGTAGGTTTGTCTTCTAAAGAAATGAAAACTTTCCTTGCACGTGCCCCGTCTAAGCTCCCCAACTCCCACCCTTCCTCAAGAGGAGACTGGTATCTGACGGGATTGAATCGCTCCTTCGCTCCTTCTGTTGCCTGGAGCAATTCCTGGAAAATGGAAAGTAAGTGCAGGCATGCATGCCGGGCAGTGGTCTTGGGCTAAATAAAGCGTGTTGGCATGCACATGTGTCCACATCTGGAAGTACCCATGCTCAAGTAAACACAGCTGCCTTTATTTTAGCAAGTAAAACAGTGAAGCAAAAATATGACTCTCCTATGACTGTGGGGGTTGTAAGTTAGTCAAGTTTGATTTTTCTCCCCTTGCTTTTGAAGACTCGCCCAGCACAGTAGCCCCTGTAATTCAGCTGGCTGGCGGGAGAAGGGAAGGGACTCTAGGAAGTCTTTGGAAGTTGGCTTGGGGAGAAGGGGCTCTGTCACATTCTCTTCAGGCCATTTTGGTTCTGAGAAACTGCAAGCCTGAAGCAGAGGAGGGAGGGCTGATTGCTTTGAATATCTGGGTAGTTCCAGAAGGGACACTAGGACCATGGAATCATCAACTAAACCAGTCATGTTTAGCATGGAAAAGACATTTTTCACAGAATGACACACTTTTCTTCACCATTCCTTGTGTTTTCAGTCCTCTTACGGCATGATCCTAAGGCTCTTTATTGCCTCGGCCACCAACCTATGTAGATTCTCCAGTTTATCAGTGGCCTTTCTAAAATGTGTTGCCTAAAACTGAACACAATTTCCTATGTCATCTGACTAGGCAGATGGCCTCTTAGTCCCAGATACTATACCTTTTTGGGCAGCTAGGTAGGTGGTATAATAGAGTCCTGGAGTTGGAGTCAGGAAGAACTGAGTTCAAATCCTACCTCAGGCACTTCCTGACTTTATGACCCCTGGTCAAGTCTATTAAAACTCCCCAGATATTCTTTCAGATGAACTGTTCTCTAGCCCTCTCTTCTCCATTTTGTTTTTGTGAAATGGACTTTTGGAACTCAAGGGAAAAACTTTACATTTATCTCTATTAAATATCATCTTTAATTAGATTCAGCTGCCTCTCAAATCTTTCTGGTTCCTGACTGCCTTGAAGTGTGTTAGCTCTCCCTCCTAGTGCTGGGTCATCTGCAGACTTGATAAACCATTATCCAAGTCATTGATAAAAGCATTAAAAAGCTGAGGGCTGAGTGTACATCCCTGGGGCCCACCACTAGGAGCAGATACCCTACCCACCTGTCAGAGAATCATTATTAATGACTCTTCTTTGGGACCATCCATTCAACTAGGCCCAAACCCACCCACCTCTACTGCCCCCTAATTCACGTCTCTGCAGAAATAGCTTAAGAGATACTTGACTAAAATCTAGATGGACTCTGTTTGAACGTTCTCCTCACATCAAGGAATCCTGTCAAAGAACCTCTCTGGCTCTTTGATCACTGCTTCCCTATCTGGATGTTCACTAGCCATCCCTCTAATAACATGCTACAAAGTTGCCAAGAACTAAAGGAATACTCTCTGCTCTCTTCCCTTTTCATAAAACTGATCCTTCCTCAATTCTGCTGCACCTCTTCCATTCTCTGGAGATAAGAGATCACTAACCTTAGTTCAGTCTTCATATCCCCACTTTTTTTGGTAGCACAGAATATAGTTAGTTCTTCTGGACCTGAGGCAGTGAGATGGTATAGTGGACAGAGCAGAGTATTGGACTTGAAGTCAGAAAGACCTTAGTTCAAATCCTACCTTAGATATTTATTAACTGTGTAACCCTGGGCAAGTCATTTAACTTCTCTGTAACTCGGCTTTCTGGTCTGTAAAATGAGAGAGCTGGACTCAGTGGCCTCAAAGGTCTCTTCTAAACTCATGATCCTATGTCTTGAATTTATCAGTGGTAGCTCGCTAGCTGCCCTGTCTTGGGTTTCAGCTTTCCAGTAGCCATTTTTGTTCCATCCTTACCTTTTGAAATAATGGTTTCCTTGCTGGAGAAAGCAGAATAAGAGTCGAGTTGTTCTTCCTTCCTTATGTTCTCCATTCCACTCAGAGCAGTGGTTCTCTCTCTTCTTGGAGCCTCTGCTTTTAACCAGTATGGCTTTTTAAAAAAAAAACACCCTTTTACTATTTGCATTTGACCTTGAGGTAGAACTTGGTTTTGGGGAGTCATCTTTCAGCTTGTTATAATGGAATACTTCCGATCGGCCTCGAGGTCACATGGGGCTTTCTAGGTCCTCAGGTGTGGCCCGGCTGCACTTGAGGACCTAGAGGGCCCAATGTGGCCTTGAGCTGAAGGTTCCCCTCCCCTGCAGTAGAGAAACACTCCAAAATAGGCTCCTTTTCTCCATTTCTGTCATGGAGGCATTCTTACTGAGTGTGGGTGACTGTTTGTCAGATGATGTCAGATGCTTTCCAAGGTCCCTCACAACTCAGATCTGTAAGGAGAGCAAAAGACTATTTTCTATACTTGCTAAAAGGCAATAATAGAGGAAAGAGCCCTCATCTGGGAGTCTGAAGACCTGGGTTCTAGTTCACCTTTGTCTGACTTCTGGACACAAAAGTGCCTAGCCCCGACCCCACTCCCCTCGTGCCTCAGTTTCCCCACTTTCCAAGGTTGGACTAAGTGATCTTTAAGGTTTACAGTCTGTGGTTTTGTCTGTAAAGGAGACACTGGGTGAGATGCCTAACAGTGGAAGATAGAATCCCATCCCTTGTGAAGCTTGCAGCCTCATTGGGAAAGTAATATAGAAATGCCTGAGAGATTTTGCTTCGTAAAACTATGGGAGAAATAACAATTTAATACAGTAAAATAGATGACACAAGGTAGTGTGTGATTAATTGCAGACAGTGAGGGCTTAGGAGATTATAGGATCACAGATTCAGAGCTGAAAGGGACCTCTAGGAGGTCATCTAATTCAACCCCATTTTATAGATATGGAAACTGAGGACCAGAGAAATGAACTGAGCTATGTCATGGCACTTTTGGACAAAGTGCTGGGTTTGGGGTCATAGGAGCAGGGTTCAAAACCTGACCCTGCCATCAGTTAGCTGGGTGACTTCAAGGAGATCATAACACTTTTCTCAGTCTTATTTTCCTCCACTGTAAAATGAATGGTTGGTCCAGTTGACCTGAGAGGTCCCTTTCCACTCGGTACAGGGTGCCACTAGGTGATTTGCCCCATGTCGCCCAAGACAAGTGGCAGGATCCAGTCCCCAGTTCTCTGACTCCATTCCCAGCACTTGGAGGTCCCAGTGTCTGCAGGTCGGGAAGGCTTCCCAGAAGAATGATGTGAACAAGTCAGCTCAGTTTATTTCCCGGAGAAACAGCTGCTTTTTGTGTCTGTCTATAGAAGAAATTACTGTCAGGATGCCATGACACATGAGCCTGTTCTCTAGTCTGAGGCCAGCTTGAAGGTCCAGCCCAGCTTTTCCTCACAGGATTATGTGATCATATTTTACAGATGAGGAAACTGAGATGTGGTGGTCTCAGTGGGGAGATAAGAACCAGGTGTGGTCCTGGTAACTCCAGAGCCAACACTCACCCCCTGCCCCATGCTGCCCATCGGGCTCATGCCCAGAGATGCCAGTTAGTTCAGTTATTAACACAGCATAAACCACCATTAGGAAGTTATTATTATCTTATATTATCTTTATCATAGCTTCTTCCTCTTTTCATAGTTCTTTCTTACTCTCTCACTTGTTTTTTCTTTCTTTCTCTTGTTTTCTCTCTCTCTCTTCCACCCATTCCTTCCTTCTT